ATCGTGATATGAAAAAATCTTATATCGCCCAGCTCTACGTGCAACGTGACCAAAAATCCAACATGTTAGCAAAGTATGACTCATTCAACATTCACTTTACCAGCTCTGCACTCCGTGTAGAGCTGGTAAAGTGCTGCTCAAGAGAAATGTTAACTAGGGTTAGTTAATTGAATCAGCTACTTAAATCCAACATTTTCAACTGCACTTTCTGTCATTGCGTCTTTTACAATAAAGTAAGCATTCATGATATGACAGAAATGGTATGTAAGAAATAGTCTGGAGTGTATTGTGCGTACTCTGAAGGATGGCAATGCTTCAGAGGGTAAAAGCAATCACTTGTGTTAACTGCCTTTGTGGAAACAACGCAGCTGGCAGTTTGTTCTAATTCTTCTTTTCAATCGTACCCTCATCATTTGACCCTTAGTCTATGTCCATTGGGGTGCCACTTCAGTAACACTGTTAACTGGGTTTTCATTAACAGTTTTCTGTAATAATTTTGTATTTTATCTCGCCAAGCGCTCCTAATGTGCTAGTGTGTATAGTTGCAGTAGCCCAAACAATAGCACATGAGTTGCTGCTCGCTGCACATCCTATGCTCTGTGTGTCAACCTAACCTAATGTGGACGTAACTCTATTTCAGCCACATGACTGGTTCAGCATTGTCTCTGGCTTTTCATGTTGTCCGTGATTTCTATTGCTCGTATTTCAATGATCTTTATCGCCCAGATCTACTGGAGACCAAATTTGTTTACATTTCTGCTAAGGCACAAATTTCACACATAAATCCTGCACATCACCATCTTCATGTGGACATGAACAGTCTGTGCTGTAACAGCAAAGGAACTGAGGCTTTAACTATAGCACAGACAAACAGAACCTACGCAAGCTCAAGGGAGACAGAGATATGCATCACTGCCTCTGCAGTGTAGTCAACATGAACGCCCCAACAAGCTTCAACACTCAGTATCTTGGTATAAAAACACCACCAACGGCACTGCAGTGTTTTCCTCAGCACTGGTACTGCACCAAAGTGGCAAGCTTCTCCTCCATATTCAATTTCCTCAAACCCCACCATGTTGTGTCTTTCCTTCATATTTTTTAAAGGAGGTGGGAAGGGGGGTGTTCCACTGAACCGACACTGCCAATTTAGATAGTTATCCATTCATACAGTTAGGCTCCAAACTGTATGCAAGCACGTAGTGATAAAATCCGGGCAGCCTGTGGACCCGCAATGCATAAACAAATCCTCTTCACTGGTTTCAGCTTTGACTATGTCTTTCATTGCTTTGTTTACACACAGGGTTGTACAAATCCAAAGCATATCCAAATGCATAAGAGCTAGAGAATTAAGACGCTAACCTAACTGGAAAAGCTGGAAGACCAGTATTGCGTTAGGTCACCAGCTAAACGAGCAATGCTACTGTGCCTTTTGAAAATAGGTCAACATTTGGATGTTACTGGTGCACTCTCTTGAGTAATGTCATGTTAATTATTGTCTGGGATATAAAGGTGCCCCTTAGTCTTAAAGCATAAATATACAAATAAGCCAATTATTAGCCTAAAGACCGCGGACAGTTTACATCAAACCACCTTTGCTTGCAAAAACCTTTCAAAAACACACGCACAGCGCTACTCTGTTAGTAATGCCACACGTGGGCATGGGGTACCAATGTTTGCAGTATTGGCTGCTGACTAAGATATTTAGACTTAATTTTAAAGAGTCAACACATTGACAATCACATCAAGCTCAAAAAATGATTCACCACAACTAAATAAATTTTGCTTCAGAGTGTAGACGATTTCTCAATGTGTATCTAAGAGAAGGGATTCCTTCTTTCAAACTCGGATCGCTTGGGAGGGGGGATGAAGAGGATAACCCCTCAATAAAGCTGCACTTGAGAAGTAATCTTAATATTTTAAGAGGAAAAAAACAAAAGTACATGTAGTTCAATGGCGATACAACGTCAAAGCGCTGGTTAAAAACAGTAAATGCACGAAAACATTGCACATTCACACCATAATAACGGGTTAATCTCGGGGACAGCAGGAGTCAGTTTGTTGTTGTTGCCATGTTAGCTTTGCAGGGAGAGTAAAAGCACACCTACCTCTGTCTGATTCCCACAATTTCAACCAGTTACTGAATCTTTAACGTTTAGTCTACGCCGTGGTGTTTTCCGCCGATGCTGGATGGTCCCATTTGTCGCCGTCGGTTCACTATACACTGCTCCGGAGACATCCGCATAAATTTGCGACGACCATCGCAGCTCATTCGAGTCGAGGCTAGCGCTAGCTTGTTAAAATCGTGTAGACCAACAAACAGACGTCCACAGAAAAAACACTAAAATATCCACGAGAATTCGTTTACAGCGTTGCTATTTCATCTTCTCCAAAAACTACGGACCTTTAACGGTCCACCTATGTAGCTCGAGGCTAGCTTGGGTAAATATAAGCCATCAAAAGATGTTATTTTTGTTTCGCTTTAATCCTCTCCGCCAAACCATTCGAGCGGTTTTCGAGCGGCCTTAGCATACAGTGTGCGGGGACGCTCGGCACGGAAACGAGTCGCGGATGAAACGCGAGCTCTGATTGGCTACGATGCTGTAGGCGGATACCTTTGCAGTGCACTTTGAAAACGACGCCATTTTGGATCAGCCCAACCACCCTATCCACCCTTCTGTCCAAGCTTGAGACGTGCCCCAACGTGGCGGCCCATGTGTCACAGTTTCAAACGCCTGAGACAACGCTCCATTATATAGTTGGAGGACCACGAAAAGGAAATGGAGTACGGGCGTTGGGTGCACTCGTTTTTCTGTCTTTATAAAAACGCATTGCCAGCTCGCGTGGTACATGTTCCTAGACACGTTTACGCCGGTTGGCTCGCATCAGTAAGTGGAAGCACTTGTTTATGACAAAATAGTTCAGACAGACTTTGTCGCGCAGGCGCACAGACATTCGCGAGTTCGTGTTGTCTGACCCTGATGTGAGCTATTTTGCGACACTTATTGAGAGGGGGGATCCCTGTGATAATTAAACACCTGCAGCTTCACATAATTACCTACAGGACCTCGGTGTGTGCCTCTATGCACACTGCTATTCTATAACCAATCCGTTTAAGTCCATTTACCACTCATTTAGTACGAGAGCAGTAGTTATCCCCTCTAAGTCTTTTTAGCTTAGCTATACTGACCTTCCTGATACCATTGGGCCTGGTAACCCGCAAGAAAAAATTCTGTATCATCATAAGTCATAGTAGTTATACATACATCATACTCGCTGGCATGTTTTTTAGTATTTAAGAATTTATTAATGAATGTAAAATAATTTAAACAACACTATCGGCGGTTTGGGGTTGATACTTTGAAATTGTAAATCCTCGTGAAAAACGCTCTGGAAAACTTTTTATTATAATTCTTAAGATATGCATGTTTCACGGCCTTTTATATGTCTAATGACGTGATCTAAGTGCAGCTTTCGGCTGATGAGTCTGTGAAGAAACCGGAGCGTGCTGGTGAACAAACCTGAGAGACCCGTGGTTAAACTGATACGTGAACGGATGATACGAATGCTCCTATTGGCCGAAAGGAAAACTCCAAACTCTCATTGGGTCACTTTTATGCCATTCAATCAGACCTGTACATACAGTTCCATACAGTCTGCGTTTCTACGACATTGTTTTCATTATCCACAAAGCCTTTCTTCTTTCTTCTTACTTGACTGAAGCTTATTCACATTAATAATACCGGGTATTATTATTATTATTATTATTATTATTATTATTATTATTATTAAACTGGACCGAAACACAAAAGCACCCTGCTCTCAATCTAACCCCACGTAACCAACATTGTCTGTTTTCATATGCATTCATTTTGCTAAATCGCACCGTACCAAAACAGCTCAATCATCTTAACCAACAGCGCTCTCTGGTGGACCAGTGATACATCTTTGACTGAAAAATCAAGTAAACAAACACCCACAACGCTTTACTGCAGGCTTCACGGGAAGCAGTAAATTTGCTAATTTAAACCGTTTACATACATTACACACATTTTTACTTTTTTCAATTCTTTGAAAATTGCGGTTAATTTCGCAACAATAAAGAGGGGGGTAAAGGTAACTGTACTCTCTGATGTGTCGTAAATGTGCTGCTTTAAAGCTGTTTTGCGTAAATCCTGCGCAAACATATGCGCAGCTTGCAGGTCCTTAAAGATCGACAAAGAAAGGTTAAAGTTCAAAGTTCGACTTCCGAGATGCGTTTAACTGTATTATTTAGCATTCTGCACATACTGAACACACAATGTATCTCTAACGAGGATTATTAAATAATGAAATCCGATTTTTTTTTTCTCGCGCCGAAGTAGGTCCCCGCAGGGCTGCCGTCTTTGCCCGGCTGAGCGGTTGAATAACAACGAGCTCGAGCTCCAAACCGAGCTCTAAACCTCCGAGGAGACGGAGACAGCTATGTCGGTGCATTAGCTCCGTTAAATGTTCGCTTTCGACTAACGACAGCCACTATGTCAGCTTTGTTGTTGCAGCAAAGTGCTGGTGTTTGTCGCAAATACAGCAGAGGTTTATTGTGGACGCTGCTGAAGCGAAACTGTTATGTATTGGAGAGCAAGCCATTATCCAGCCGCGGTGTTCAAAATGTCCCATCTAGGTGTGATCACTTGAGGAAGACGCTTCTTACAAAGTCAGAGCGGACTCTTACAGATCAGCAGCAACAGAAACTCATACAGGTAAGAGTGAAGTAACTAATAGGATGAGTGGCCATGGATGGCCACTTCATTCGGAGGAAAGGTGGTTTAAATGACTGACGGTTGTTGATGCCAGACAGGAGTATTTCAGAAAATGCTGTTCTGCAGGGGGGGGTTTCTTCTTGTTTACCGAGAATGATCCAAAAAAGAGAAAATATCTGGTGACCTATGGTTCTCTGGATTAAAATGCCTTGTTGATGCGAGAGGTCAGAGGAGAATTCCCAGATTGCTTTGAGCAGAAGAGCATCTCTGAGTAGCTGAACTTTGAAGCAGATGGGCTATAGCAGCAGAAGACCACTCCTGTCAGATAAGAACAGAAAACTGAGTCTAAATTTCACACAGGTTCATCAAAATTGGACAATAGAAGATTGGAAAAACATTGCGTGGTCTGTTGAGTTGATTTCTTCTGTCACATTCAGATGGCATGGCCAGAATTTGGCATAAACAACACGAGAGCATGAACCCATCCTGATCCGTCCATGACTCAGCTGTGTTGCTATCATGTCGATCTGGACCAAAATCTCAGAGAAATTTGTCCAGTACCTTATTGGATCTATGTCACAAAGGATTAAGGCAGGTCTGAGGACGAGGTGTACCTAAAGAAATGGCCAGGAAATATCTTTTTAGCAGAAGGCTCAACATGATTGATTTTTCAACACTTGATCTATAAGTAATTTTATCTCCCAAAACAGTGTTAATAGCTTTTTTGGCATCAACTGAGGTTGATATCTAATAATAAAATAATCAGAAGTATCCATGGCTCTAGTCAAATTTCCTTCTCACATGTCATTCTAACTTCATGTAAGAAAATATTAATCTCTCTCTGCACTGTTGTTACTGAGATTTACTTCACATATATGGTATAGTTTTATTATAATGATTTAACTTGTTAAATTTGAAAGTGTCAAATATGATCGCCTTAATCACTTGTCTAGCGTGGAAAGAAAAGCGTCTGGAATTTTTCAAGTTTCTTCAAGGAAACTTAAAAAAGTCCAGAGGCTTTTCTCCTTAGACTATGATGACCTGGATGACTGAGAACCGTCACAGATGCCTTAATAACTTATTTTTATTCTACTCTGGAAAGTCTTCAGTTTGAGATTGTGACATTGTCTGTTGTTTTTCCTTAAGTTGTAAACACATTTGTTGATAATAAATTTACACACTTTTGATTTAACTAGGTTTTCTAGTTCTGATTTTGATTCTGATTTCTTTCCACCTTTTTTCTCCAATATTCCCATAACAGAGTCTTCTCCACAGACCTTTGGGGCCTAGCTTGGTGGGACTTAGAAAAGAGCTAATTAGGAACAACCTGCTCAGGAACCCTGTTGGTTTGGCAAATTTACTCGGTAAATACTTAGTTTACCTTCATAAGTTGTTTAAAAATTCACTTATAGCTGCTTTAAATTAAACTGTTTGATTTCAGGGGCAACAAATCTCTTCAGTACATCTCAGTCTAATCAAAACAAAGATAAAAAGAATGGGCCAAAGGGGAAGACGCCAGAGGAAGATGAAGGTAAGCGATGCATATTTTTTTGCTACTTGATGCAACTGATAAATACCTGCACCACACCTGGTTTCTTTGTCACGTCATTTACTTTATTTTATTTTTTATTTTCGGCCTCACCTTTCAGAGGAGAAGAAACGTCGTGAACAGGAGGATCATATGTACCGGGAACGCCTGCGAACCCTCTTCATCATAGCGCTCATCATGAGCCTGCTGAACTCCATTAACACCAGTGGCGGTAACATCTCTTGGAACGACTTTGTGAACGAGATGCTTGCCAAGGGGGAGGTGTCACGTGTGCAGGTCGTTCCCGAGAGTGACATTGTGGAAATATACCTTCATCCCGGAGCAGTCATCTTCGGAAGGCCTGTATGTTGTACATGATTTTCTGCACACACACACACACACAGTTAACACACTCAAAGTAGCGCAGGAGACCCTCATGCTTAATTCTAATTTCCTGCTACGTCTCATGCTTTGCAGAGGCTGGCGCTTATGTACAGAATGCAGGTTGCCAACATTGACAAGTTCGAGGAGAAGCTGAGAGCTGCCGAGGAGGAGCTGAATATTGACAGCAAGGACAGAATACCAGTGTCCTACAAGCGCACTGGATTTTTTGGGAAGTAAGAAAACAACTCTTATCAGAGCAGACATTCTAAGAAATCGTTTATGAGGTGCCTTCCTAATCTTTTCTGAGGATTAAGAAATAATTCAAGGCACTGCTAAAATCATACAGAGCAGATACGACAACAAAAACAAAATTATGGCTTATTTTGCTTTTTGTTTTTCATAAAAACATAAGTTCAGCAGTATTCATTTATTTATTTATTTATTTTCTCCTCATGAATGCCTGTGTGCCAGAAACATGTTGGGAGTTTTTTGTTGTGAAAATAAATTTTAAATTTAAATTTTATTTTGAAAAGAAAATGCCTTGGAGTTTTTTTTTTTCTTTTTCATATTTTATGCTACGTGTATCCCTGCCAAACAGCACTTCCAGTAGAAGTTGTTTGAATCCAAGAAGCGCTTCTTTTCAAATCCATTTGAACTTCATTATTGTTTCTTAGACTATGGGCGTATGCATGCAATCAATGTGGTCATAAATGTTAATATTTGAACTACAGGTTTGTCGTAATTTCAAGTTAAAAACAGCCTTTTTCTCCCTCTATTCTTGTTTCAGTGCAGTCTATGCTCTGGGCATGGCTGCGATCGGTGTGGCGATTCTCTGGTATATCTTTCGACTTGCTGGCATGGGTGGCAGAGATGGCGGCTTCAGTGCTTTTGT